TTCCTTTCTCTTTGGAGTGTTACAAGCTCTTGGTGCATAAAGAAGATCTGTAAAGTTGCAAAGACTGAAGTCTCAAATCCAAAGAGATATTCTTTATAAAAGTTAAGAGTCAGCCACGCCTACCTAAAACGGCTCGTTCTAACACGCCCCCACATGTCTACATCACTATGTGGGAAGATTTGCATAAAGCCGCCCAAATGTTCACGCAAAGAAAAAAGGCTTAATAACTTTTATTCTCGCTGTAGTATTGTTGCTCCCGCAGCCGCCATGTCGTGAAGGCACTGTGTGCTTCGTTGTGAAAGCGAAACTACTTTGTTTGGTCTTCCAAAAGAGGACGATATCTGCTTCGTCATGCCTGGAGCTGATCCGTGCTGGTCGCTGAGGGAATACATCAACTTAGTGCTGTGGATCGCCGGATCGGCTTTCACCGTAAACGAAGTCCGGGGTCGTCACATGTGGTTGCCGCAAGCCCGCCGGCCACGCCATTCTCAAACCCGCCCGACGCCACTCACTCTAGCCCCCCGTGTGTTTCGTTGTGAAAGTAAAACTACTTTGTTTGGTCTTCCAAAAGAGGACACGACTAGAAATCAGTGGTTAAGTTGTATTTACAACACAGTTCCAGAACAGTTCAACCCAAATATTCAGATGTGTGCAGTGCATTTTATGGAGGACTGTTTCCTGATCCTGGGAGAGTAGACTACAATGCCGGCTGTTCTGACTCACAGACTGTAAATACATTTTCATTTAAAGGATTTGCCACTGACAATTCAAACGCTAGTTTGAGCAGTGTAGAGTAGCACTTGTTTGTCTTTTCTCCGATCACAAAAGCAGACATGGTTTTATGTTTACGCCGTGCGATGCAACGCAATGCGTAAAAAAAGACAGTATAAGACAGTCATTATAATTCGGCCTGACAACAGCACGGCATCAACAGTATGGTGAGGGGCGTAACATTTCCGTCACACACTTGAGGTATTCAGCCAATCACAACGCACTGGTTAGCTGGCCAATCAGAGCACACCTCGCTTATCGATGAGTTTTGTAAAAATCGAGGCGTTTCAGAAAAGCGGGGCATAGAGGAGAAACAATAATGTACAGTATGTGGAAAATAATGTGTTTTTTTAACCTTAAACCTCATAAACACATTTCATTACACCAAATACACAAAATAATGTTCTTTTTAGCAACATCATATGACCCCTTTAAATCCACAACAAGCCCTCTAATGCTTGAAACATAGAAGTTTCTGTGAAGATGCTTCTAGTTTCACAGACTTGATGTTAAAGGGACAGTTCACACAAAAATGAAAATCCTGTCATCAAGTTATTACAAACCTGTATGAATTTCTTTCTTCTGCTGAATGCAAAAGAAGATATTTTGAAGAATGTTGGTAGCCATTGACATCCATAGGTCTTTTTTATTTTTTACTTTTTTCATACTATGGAAGTCAATAGGGACCAGCAGCCTTTTGGTTTTTGGGTGAACTGTGCCTTTAAGGCAGTGTGATTTGGGGAAATACATATAAATGTGCCTTTATAAATCTAAATAAAAAAATATATATAAAAAAAAATGTTTTAATACTATTATTTTGATAAGCTTTGCAATTACAATTTAAAATGCAATTTAAAAAAAAAGAGAAATACAGGTTTGTAGCATTTGTTTGCTTTTTGAATTTTTTTTATTATATATGAATATAAAATAATACTTATTATTACTATTTTCATTATTATAATTATATTATAAGGTCATTATTTTTATTATAATTTACTAGGTAAAAAAAAAAAAAACTAATACTGTTTCACAGTAAAATTATTATTTAAGAAAAATAATGTAATAATACATGTATGTTACAGTGCAACTGTACAAATTATAATACAGCTATTTAAGGTTGTCTAAATTTCTTAATTTTCAAATGTTAAACCAGCAAGCTTTTATGTTCGTGGAAAACTTCTGGGAGATCAAAAGCTTCTCTTTTGTTGACAACAGATTTATAAACAATTTTTCCAATCTATATTTCGATTAATCTCTTTAGCCCCGTTCAAACCAAGAACGATAACTATAAAGATAAGTATAACGATATTAGCGTCCACCCTAGCGAACGATATCGTCCATTTATTCTAAGTGCACGCTCGTCTGCCGCTTTAAATTCCCGAGTTTATTACAGCAGGATGGATTCTGATTGGCTGTCATTTTTTTATCGTTCATCAGCTGGAGAAAAATCGTTTTGAAAGTGATTCCAGCGATATCGTTTCTCTGTGCCTTTATCGTTATAGTTGTGGTGTGGACTCTGCTATTCTTTAATATTGAGAACGATTTTTAGAACTATCGTTATCGTTATCTTTATAGTTATTGTCCTTGGTGTGAACGGGCCTTTATTCCTACTTGATATCATGCATTGTTGGATTCAGAAATCTCTGCTTTTTAATTTTTGTCTACATGTGATGAACATCCCACAATGCAGCTGGTACCTGACATGACTAATTAGATCATTTAAAAGTTTCTTGAGGCCTGAAGTCGGCATGAAATGAAAATGCACTCTTATCTATTTTATGAATGCGTGTTATAGATCTTAATAGTGATGTACTGAAATAAAATTTTCACTGAAACCAAAATTAAAGTTTTTATTTAGCTGAAAACCGAACCGAAAATAAAGTTAGTGATGTTTTTGTCTATACAAAGATGCTGTTGATAAGCTGTTTTAAATCCACAACAAGCCCTCAGGGTAGACATGACTTAAAATCACTGTTTGTTCTCGTGTCACATGCTTTAGGAATCTGTGTCTTCGTACCGAGGAGGAGTTCAGCTCAGGGAGAAGTTTGCCCTTCATCAACCCCAGCTCCTTAGAGACGCTCAGAGCCCTGGTCCAGGAGATCCAGAGCAGCGGCGAGACCGACCCTGAGATCTGGAAGAACTGTGAGGTGCGCAGATGCCCGAGACCACGCTGTCCGTTCCCTCATGCCGTCACGGCCCAGGTTTCTGGGCCATCGTCTGGGGTCTCCCATAGGAGTCGAGACCGCAGCAGCCACGCTCAGGGCTGTGGAGAACATCCCACAATGCAGCTGATCCCTGACATCACAAATGAGATCATTTAGAAGTGTCTCGAGGGCTTTAAAGTTGGCATGATTTTAAAAATCACCCTGTCTATCTTCTAAATGCATATTAATATTTAATAGTGATGCATTGAAATTAGTCGGTGTGCGGTGTTTTGATGTACTGTCTGTGTTTTTTTTTTTTAATAGAAATAAAAGTTATTTAGTTCAGCTAGAAAACGTACGCTACACTAAACTGAAAGCATCTGCTCTGCTCTATAGAGCCAGGGTTGCCAAGTCTGCCTGACAAAACTAGACCATGCCAGTTAAAAACAGTCCAAAGTAGCGCAATGACAATATCCCAAATATCAAAGCTCAAACGCTGTCCGTTCCCTCATGCCGTCACGGCCCAGGTTTCTGGGCCATCGTCTGGGGTCTCCCATAGGAGTCGAGACCGCAGCAGCCACGCTCAGGGCTGTGGAGAACATCCCACAATGCAGCTGATCCCTGACATCACAAATGAGATCATTTAGAAGTGTCTCGAGGGCTTTAAAGTTGGCATGATTTTAAAAATCACCCTGTCTATCTTCTAAATGCATATTAATATTTAATAGTGATGCATTGAAATAAAATATTTTAAAGGGGTCCTATTATGCTCTTTTACAATGTCTTGAATTTGTTTTGGGGGTGTACTAGAACATGCTCTCATGCTTGGTGGTTCGAAAAACGCATTATTATTACCATACCTTTCTCCCCATTCTGGCACAAAAGGCTCGATAAGTTAGGTTTTTACTTCCGAAAAACTAAATGTGATGTGATTGGTTAGCTGTCGCAGTGAGTTGTGATTGGCGAACAGCTTAGACGGTGTTTCAGTACTGTCCCGCCCCTTGCCAAAGCAGCAAGTTTAGTTAAGGAGGGCGTCAATATTGCCATATCAATTTGAACCGCATTCAGACCCAGAGAATATTGAACAAGAGGATCGTGCAGAACCTTTGCACGCATGGATATTGCAAGACATATTAGAGTGGTTATTGTTGTTTTTTTTGGCTAAATCACATTTTAGATAGGATATCAACAACCGCTTAAAATAACTGTATTTACTATGTACAGATAAGTGCATATGTATTATTTTTATTGTTATTTAATTCTAACAATATAACATAAATTGCTGTGAAACTGTTATACAGTTGAATTTATTTATACCATAGTCCAGTGTTTCCCAGGCGCCATATGTATGCAAACTCATTCTCTGTCAGCAGGAGGCGCTGTTGGAGTGTTAGAGATCGAGGTTTCCCCTGTAACGGCTGTACACAAAGCAGCGCTCCGCTCACAAAAAACACTGCTTTATCAGACATTACATTAAATGAAAATGACATTCAATTTTCTGAAGACAGTCAGTTTCCTTCAGAAATACAGTGATATAAAAACACGTGGGAAAGACTATAGTCTCATAATTGAAGTGTAAATTCTGCAGATTACATCATTGTCCAGTATTGTACTGTTAGCAATTTATTATAAAAACGTTTTCATAATTGTAACATACATATTTACATACATAATTATTCAGCTGCATGTGTAATAACTTGCGAAAACTTGAGGCTACAGCAGCACTTCTTCTTGATGCACTCAACCAAGCGCACGAGCTCGCCCCTCCCCACCCCCCATCCATTCCAATTTCCGTAGGCGGAATTATTTGTTCATGTTGCAGAAAGTTGAAGTTTTGTGCTTTGTATCTGATGGAGTTAATGTGCTTCATTGTGTTTAATCTGGTTGTGCCAGTGTAAGGCTTCAAACATGCGCTATGCATTTGTGTGAATTCACATGCATCTAATCTAGTCACATAAACTTGATATTTGGGCTGCAGTTTATTAAAGTGCAATTTATAATTTCATTTAATTAATAAATGTAAAATAATATAATTTTTTTCCTGATAAACATTGCGTTCAAAATTTTAAATTAAGCTTTTAAAATTCAAAAAGTGAAAAAGCATAATAGGACCCCTTTAATTTAGCCGAGAAAAAAACTAAAAAATGTATGTGTGTGTGTGCGGATACATATAATAAATATGTATATATATATATATATATATATATATATATATATATATATATATATGCATGAATATATAATATGTGCATATATTTATCAAATTGCTCCACGACTCCTTTTTTTTTTTCTAGCTTTGTGGAAAAGCTGTTCTACTTTCGTTTCATCGGACTTTAAAAAATGTTATATGCTGAGATTGGCCATATGACAATGACATTTGTATTGTTTTGTTTTGCACTAGAAATTTCCCACTGAAGCCTCTACTAGCCCATCTAACCAAAACACACCAATTTATCTGTTTTAGCATTTCCTCCAAGTCATTGCATCCACAGAATCTGATATTTTTTCCTCTTACATACTGACATATTGACAGTGTTTTTTTCTGATTCAAACAGGGCCGGTGGCTTCATCTCTTTCAGTTGGTGGAAAAGCAATATCAAGAGCAAATCCTTGCTCAGCAGGAACAGTACCAGTGCCAAATACAGGTATGTTTCTCAAAGCAACATATCTGGACTGATACGAAGTTATTGTTCATGTTGCAGAAAGTTGAAGTTTTGTGCTTTGTATCTGATGGAGTTAATGTGCTTCATTGTGTTTAATCTGGTTGTGCCAGTGTAAGGCTTCAAACATGCGCTATGCATTTGTGTGAATTCACATGCATCTAATCTAGTCACATAAACTTGATATTTGGGCTGCAGTTTATTAAAGTGCAATTTATAATTTCATTTCATTAATAAATGTAAAATAATATAATTTTTTTCCTGATAAACATTGCGTTCAAAATTTTAAATTAAGCTTTTGTTTTGGTGAAAAACAGCAGGGAGAGCCCTTAAAGCTTCTCTTTTGTTGACAGATTTATAAATTATTTTATAGGTCTATAACCGATTTTCAATTTATATTCTGATTAATCTCAAATCTTCTTGATCTCATATATGTAATTTCCATACCTAAAATACATATTTTACAGTCACTGTTATGCACATTGATCATAAACACAGCTCAAATGCTGCCTACCAGTGGCCCTCATTTACAAAACTTATCCATCTAGCGCAGTTTTATCATAGGCAGAATGCAAAATGTTTCAATACAAGCATTTCAGTCAAATGTAATGTATGCAAACCTTGAACCCACGGGAAAAACAGTTAAAAAGTAACCCAATTCCATGGGAAAACGTGGACTTGAAACCCTGCATTCAACACGAGCAGCCGGAGGAAGATTTCACTGATTACGAGCCGAGAGTAAGGAGAGATGACTGACAAGATCATGCTGGAGAATTTGCTGCTCAACAGATCCTGAGTTCATTGGCAAATATCTGATCTTGTAAGATGTGCTCCCTTTACAGAGTGCGCGTGATCACGAAATCGAAAGTAAAAGTGAACAGCGAGCGCTCATTCAAAAGTGATTTCAGTACCCCTTATGTTGATAGCAGCTCTAAAATGATATACAATATTAGAATGTTTTAATTAAGGAAATAGCCATGCTTGGCTCTACACTGGTTATAATGAACTAATATTTATCACATTAAGAGATCCAAATCATTTGTGTTGTTGTATGTTGTGTAGTCAACCCCTGACCTCCTGGGCCCAAAGGCAAAAACACAGACAGAGAAAGAGCCGAACAACACCAAACCGGACGTCATATGTGGAGGAGCGGGACAGGAGCACGGCAGGAGCAGGATCTCCTAAGGAGCACACATATCACTTACCTGATGTAAGCACTTGCTAATATTGAATGATATTGAATGATTTTTTTTAAAAACCATGAACAGCAGAGATCTTTATATAAAAGAACAAAGCTTTTTTTTTTTTTTTACTAGTTCAACTCTTTTTCAAATGTCATTCCATACTTTATACTGTAAAATATTTTCTACAATATTTATATCGTGTCAGTTTCTAAATTTAAAGGCAGAAAATTTCAGATTTATAATTGGTAAAAATCTCTGTCATGCATCTCGGATAAACTGTATGAATTGTGCATCATTTGCTGAAGCATCACTATTCAGCTTCTTACTTGGAATGTTCCTAGAGGCCTCTGTGTGCATTTAAAATTGCTTTCTGAGTATAATAAACATCTGTCTTCTGGCTTTTTTCGAAGCGTGGATACAGCACAGCCTCCACAAATCCATTGCCTCTAAAGAGAAGTGACAGTCTGGTGTCTGAAGCCTCAGGTAACACATTTCACTAAGAATCAAGCTCCACTTTCTGTTCAACAGCACACATGAGGGCTGCAATGGTGATTGTATGGGTTTTTTTAGGGATCGTAATGTTACATTTGAAGAAGTTTAGATTGTAGTATTTTCTGATTGTGAAATTGCTCTGAATTGCATATTCTTACTCTCTTTGGTTTTCCAGGCCTGTCTTACTGGAAACTGGATGCGAGTGAGTTATACCGCCCGCTACCTGACAACTTTGAAAGTGCTTCCTTCGTCCTAATGCAGGTATAATTTTATTAACTTAGTCTCTAGGAAAAACTAAGAAGTAACAACATTACTACATGTTGGAAATCATAGCTTGTAACTGAAAAAGCTATGTTGTTTTGATGCAGTTAAGATAGTAGAGTAACATGACAGAATAATGTTTTATGATGTATAATAAATCACTGTCATTAACATTTACATGTATTCCTTATTCGTTCACTGTCCTTTGCGTTTCAGTTGAGCGATACAATAGTTCCTTAAGTATGATTCTTTTAGTGAATCAGTTCATTTCGGATTGAACATTTTACGGATTTGTTTGAGTCATCACTAGTGGCAATAGTGTATAGTTTTTTATTTTTTTGGAAGCTAATATTTATATATATATATAATATATTTATATGGCCAGAAATTCTGATTCTGAAATTAAATAATATGCCTTAGAAACATGAGATTTAAATGCCTGGTTTTATGATCAAAGCTGTAGTTTCAAAACATATAATGAACAAATGAGATGAACAAATAAATGTTCCTCAAAAGGCTGATGATCATATTTGATTATACTCCCATTTAAACATGACTTTCTAAAAAAAATTATGTCTGTATAAACAGGTAAACCGAAGTTGCTTCAATTTTGAAATATTGCTAACAATATAACATATATTCTTACGTTTATTTTATATAAATCAGCACCACCTGAAGTCAGACGTTTGTACAATTATACTAAAAGGCCTTTTACTTGCTTAATTAAAAGTATAAACTATCAATCAGATGACAAGGCATGTTGTAGATTGTGTACAACAGGCTTTTCAGAAGTTGTGATCATGTTCATCATTTAAAGGCCTTAAATTTGCATAGCAAATATGATACAGCAGGCCTTATAGGGTTAATTAAAAACTGACGAACAAGTTGTTCTGTCACACACAGACTCCAGATGAGAACTGTCTGTCTCTGCGGGAGATCTACCAGAGCAAGAGAGCAGATCCCAAAGGCCACGAATGGGACTCCTTAATCAACTCATCCACCTCGTCTCCTCAGGTCAGAGCAGAGCCAATTAACACAAGAATTAATTAAGGAGCAAAATGTCTCACCTGTTCCTCCCTCACCCAGGTGTTGACTCTGGACTCCACCGTGCATGTGAAGCACTCGGATCGCACGTCAGGCTTCACATCGCCATCCCACTTCAGCAGTCCATCTGCGCAGGTCCGGGCCTGTCCCGGCAGCAGCGGAGCGCCTGTCAGTCCTGACTCCATGGCCCTGCGCAGCCACAGCGACACCGACTGCATGTCCAATGCCAGCAGTCTGTCTGCACAGCAGGCGCCCGACCGGACGTCTCCTTGCCCATCAGCGCTAAGAGCAAACCAGGCCAACAGTGAGGATGAGGGCAGCCATACTGCCACGATCACCGTACAGCCCAGAGGAACGTCTGCTCAGGAGATGTACAGGCCCAACAGAAGCAGCCCAGATACAGGCGGTGGGAAACTGGAGCGGATGACCTCGCTGGAGGACCCGGTAGTTCTCTCGCTGTAAGAGTCGGGAAAATCCCCCTAATGTTAACACGAAATTACATTTACAACAGATTAAAGTCAAAAATGATTTTGAGAAGCTTGGTCACAAAAATGCTTAACAATCAAACAAACTGGTCATAACTTTTTTCTTTTCTTTTTTTTTTAAAGAAATTAATTCAGCAAGGACACATTAAATTGATCAAAAGTGACAGTAGAGACATTTATAATATTACGATAGTTTCTATTTCAAGTGAATGTTGTTCTTTTGAACTTTGTATTCATCAAATTATCCTTAAAAAACATGGTATGTTGAAAAGCTCAGTCAGGAAAATGTTTTTGGAAGTGGAAAAAAATGGGGTAAGAAGTTGGAAAATAAAACATTTTTTTCTTTAAAATAATATGGGCTGATAGTTCATGCAAAATTGCATTTACAAGGCATTTAGCAGTTGCCTTTTAACTTCCTTGCTGTCCTTAGACAAACATTGTCTAAGACTACCATTCAAAAGAAAATTATTATTTTTTTCATTATTTAATTATTCTTCAAGGATGCATTAAACTGATCAAAAGTGACTGTAAAAAATGTATAATGGTACAAGTTTTCTGTTTCAAATAAACGCTGTTCTTTTGAACTTTCTAGTCATCAAAGAATCGTGAAGGAAAAAAAATATATAAAGGAGCACTTTGATAATAATCAGAAATGTTTCTTGAGGAGCAAATCAGCATATTAGAATGATTTCTGAAGGATCATGTGACACTGAAGACTGGAGTAATGATGCTGAAAATTCAGCTTTGATCACAGATATAAATTAGATTTTAAAATATGTTAAAATAGAACAATAATATTTCACAATATTGCTGTTTTTACTGTATTTTTTAACCAAAAAATGGAGCCTTGGTTAGCAGAAATAAATATAAATTAAATATCTTACCGACCTCAAACCTTTGAACTGTAGTGTAGGTGCTGATGGATTATATTTGAGTGCTTTACTGAACCTATCCAATGTTATTTTGTCTATCCCTCATCTGATGCTCTAGTGCTGGCACACTAACTTCTGGTTTGTCTAATCTTGCTAGACTGAGACAAAAACTGAGAGAGAAACATGCCCGCCACATAGCCGATCTCAGAGCGTACTACGAGGCTGAGATCAGTGCCCTGAAGGAGAAACTGGATCTGGTGAATTTGCCTCTTGACATGGAGAAAAGCAACCAGATCTTGCTTGAGAGGTGAGAAACAATACATAGGATGAATTCATTCTGTTCCAGCTGTGTTTCAGATTGCATAATGAAATTTAATAAGAAAAAAAAACAAGGGTGTAATAATATGTGACCCTGGACCACAAAACCAGTCATAAGTAGCACAGGTATATTTGTAGCAGTAGCCAAAAATACATTGTATGGGTCAAAATTATCGATTAACTAATAACCAATTAATAACCAGTTGGTCTAATATGGTATATTGATGTATTTGGCTCTGTCTTCAGCCTGTTGTTTGTATCTGCACTCACATCAGCACAGTGAGTCTGGTGATCTGGTGACATCTGTTGTCTGGTGTTTAACACACAATAAACACTCTGTCATCGGCAGAGTCCGATGAACTCTGACTGATTGTGTCTCTGATCATCGTTTGGCAGATGTCAACACCTGGAACGAGCGTTAACGGAGGCGAGCACATGCATCCGAGAGCTGGAGATCAAAAACCACCTCTTGGAGAGACAGCTGGTACGAGTCACCGCCTCCATCTAAAACAGGAAATACATGAATGGCGTGTGTACGAGAGACTCGTATGTTGACGTGGAAGTTGTGCTTGTAGTCAGCAAAATTGTATAAATTATATACAAGCACTTTCAAGGGGTAATGTCATGGAAACCGGTTTTTATGTATTTTGTAGACATTTCTCTTTCACAGCTCAAAGCTATCTGGAGCATTTACTGTGTAAAGGTTACATACAATCTCCTAGCAACTGCATGGCAATGACCTAGCAACACCTTAGGAACCACTTAGAACATCCAAGCAACCTCTAGCTCAACAGCTATTCAGTATTTAGCAACTTAGTCTTGAAGAACAATAGTGTGAAGAATATCAGGATAGGTCAGTATGGAAGTTCAAATGTCTTTTAATGAGATAACTATGACTTTTTCTCATAATTTAAACTTTTAATGTCGTAATTATGACTTGTTAACCTCAATTTTGACTATCATAAGTACGACTTTTTATCTCATAATTTTGGCTTTTTATGTCATAGTTGCTAATTTTGATGTCAATTTCGAGTTTTTGATGTGTACTTACTGTAATACAGCTGGACTCAAATGAAGGTGTAGAACCCTCTCAAGGATGATCAGAAGAAATGGACAGGACCTGAGTTAAATATATGAGTGTCACAGCAAAGGGTCTGAATACTTAGGACCATGTGATATTTCAGTTTTTCTTTTTTAATAAATCTGCAAAAATGTCAACAATTCTGTGTTTTTCTGTCAATATGGGGTGCTGTGTGTACATTAATGAGGAAAAAAAATTAACTTAAATGATTTTAGCAAATGGCTGCAATATAACAAAGAGTGAAAAATTTAAGGGGGTCTGAATACTTTCCGTACCCACTGTATATATATATAAAACTTGTTTGTCATAATTATGACTTAAGATATCATAATTTTGACTATATCATAAATATGCATTTCATTTTAAATTTTCACTCTGTCAAAGACTTTCTGATGTCATAATTATGATTTTGTATCTCTGTTAACCTGAAGTTTGTGTGTTTGTGGTCCAGGCTGAATGGCCAGAGCGATACGACGCGGCCAGCGCCACAGTCCAGGCCCTGCAGCAGCGGTTAGAAGAGACCAAACACAGCAGCCGTGAGAAAGATGCCACCGTGACCACACTGAAGAACCGCCTGCGTCAGCTGGAGGAGGCCATGCAGAATGCCTGTAAGGAGGTGGATGAGAAAGAGGCCCGCATGAAGAAAGAACACAAGATGCTACAGGATGTGAGCTGAGCAGAATCCCTTAAACTTCCCTTATGCTGTTATAATAGACCATAAAGGTCAATGTGATGATGCCTTGTTTTTTGTTTTGTTGTTTTTTTGCAGCTCCTCCACGAGTATGATTCACTGAGAAGGGAGCATGAAGGAGCGAAGGTGAGAGCTGTTTTTATCTGACGTCATGATACAAATATAAGTACATAGAAGTGCACAAACTATTCAGCTGTTTCTTTTCTAACAGGACAAGTTGGCCTCGACTGAAAATAAGCTCTTTGATGCCAATGAACAAATATCTGAACTGAAAAGGTAGATTTATTTTCAAAATCTGCAATTGGTATTAGGGCTGTCAAAAAAAAATTTGAATTTCGAATATTCGTGGAATTTAAAATAAAAATCCACATTCGAATGCAAAAACGTTGCATTCAAATTTTAGGTGTGCGTCAGGCAGCTTTATCAGTGGAGCACGAAATGCGACGACGATGTAAGTGTCATTGCATTTTTATGTTTTTGTTTGTCTATCCAGTTGAACCCACTAGATGCGGCGCTGCTACATTGTTCATTCAAAATATTTTGGGGGAAAAAAGAACATCAATGCGGAGATGATGTTGTTTACGTCAAAGCCGAAACCAAACCGTTCACACAGAATTTTTTTAAAACATGCCTCAAGACTTTATGGCGGTTTTTCCCCATCCTACTTTATTTGTAAGACATTTTTATGACTAAATTTGGTAATGGGAGAGTAAAAATATTTTTAAAACGTACACCGTTCAAACTAGGCTGCTTATGTTGAAGTGTTTGGGATGTGGCTTTTAATATATGAGACCTTTTTTGTAATCAGGCTCTCAAAAAGTATATAACAATTTGGATATAGATTTATCGGCCAACATATCGGTTATCGGCTTTCAAAAATAAAGAATAATCGGTTATCAGGATCGGCCAAAATTTTCATATCGGTGCATCCCTAACATTATTAACTGTCTTGATATTTACTTTGAAAGCTGACGCTCACGATTATGGTAAGGGGCGTTATATTTCCGACGCGTGCTTTTGGTGTTCGGCCAATCACAATGCACTGGGTCAGCTGGCCAATCAGAGCAGACTGCGCTTGTCAAAGGAGGGGGCTTTGTTGAAAACGATGTGTTTGTGAGAGGCGGGGCATAGAGAACCTACAATAATGTACAGTATTTGAAAAATAATGTGGTTTTTGAACATTAAAGCATGTCAACATATTCTGTTACACCAAATACACAAAATAATGATCTTTAAAATAGCATTATATGACCCCTTTAAATGAAGAAAGTACTCTTTGTGATTGGTTTTCGGTCCTTTGTATTAAACTATACATACATGCATGATGCTGTTTTGTTTCTAATTGTTTAAGCAACTTTAATTATATAAGGTTTATAAACATTATTTTAAACGTTATGCACTTGTTTCAAAGATAGTCGTGTTATTTTATTATGCTTTGAAGAAACGTGCATAATATTTTGTTCGATGCGCCCTCTTGTGGCCTCAGGAGAGAAGCCAAAAGCTTTTTTCCCCCTAACTGAAATTATGCCTTTTAAATTAGAATATAATTTGAATATTGATAATGTTTAAGTACAAAATTCGAATTTGTATCATATCAACTGTTATGTTATTAAACTAGAATGTATAATTATAGCTAAATATTATAAATGTAACATTTAACAATTTAATTTAAATTTATATTTAGCAGTTGTATTTAATTATTTATTATGTTAAATGTTATAATTTTAATTGCTGATTTAATATTTAACATATATTATTTCAAGGGGACACCGGATGCCCATTTTCCACAAGTTGGTGTGATTTTTTTTTTTTTAGGGTCTTCATGAAATGTCTGTAACATACTTTAGTTAAAATTCCTCAGTGGTCGTGTAAAACAACACCCTTATCAAAAACCACTCTGTTCACGGCGACTCATTTCGGTGCATGTCTCTTTAAATAATAATGAGCTTTGCTCACCCCGCCCCTCTCTTCCGTGGAAGAGCAAAAAAGGTGCAGCTGGGTCACGAACAGTGGGTACTGATCCATCCTTGAGTTTGAACTTTTTAGCAAAACCTGCCTTGAATCGTCCCTCGTTCAGAAAGCAGAAATGTAAAATGCTTTGCGCAGACATAAATTAATTTAGGTGATTCGATGGCACATTACCATCAAAAACAAAACTAGTGCACTGCGTCCTGAGTGGAACTGATGTGGAGAAAATGAAGACTCTTATGTTCACTTTTTCATCCAACTGCAAAACACCTGCACTGCTCAAGTGCGGAGAAAATCAAGTAGGGCTCATACAACTGGCTGAGGGCGGAGATATGCTAATACAGGACACTCTGTCAGCGGTCGTGGGCGGGGCCTGAACAGTATGACGTCATATTGCTCAGAAAATCAAAACGGCTTGATTATTGAGACTGTTTAGGTTTTTTGGGGATTAAAAAAAAAGTAGTGAATTAATTTTTATCATTGTAGGGTGGTTGTGTCCACACACTGCTAAGACACATTATATGCAAACACCTTATATGTAAAAGTGAATTTTGCATCCGATGCCCCCTTTAATAAATATTATAGTAATAAAAAAATAAAGTCATGAGGTAACATTTTACAATAAGGTCTCATTTGCTAACATTAGTTAATGCATTAACTAACATGAACAATAAATATATTTTAAAATGAAACGAATGAACAATGAAATATATTTTTACATCATTTATTAACCTTTGTTAACATTAATTAATAAAAATGTTCAAATTTAACCAGTGTTAACAAATGAAACCTTATTTTTAAGTGTTACCAGTCATATGAAATAAAGTTTAGACAGTGTATCAAATTTGTCATATTTATTTAGAAATATACGTAATTCTAACAATTATAATAATTACGAATACAAATAAAAATATGTTCTTAATATGTAATAATTTTTTGTTTGTTAATATCATTACTGTTATATCATTCCTTATATTTATATGTAATACGTAACATAGGTAATAATATGAATGCTATAAATATATAGAATATAGTAATATAATTTCCTTTTGTGTACTAACAAAATATATATTTTTTTATTTATATTTAATTTCTCCATGGTTTTGTAGGGTCATCTCTAAGCTAGAAACTCAATTCCGACAGCTACAGCTCGAAAATCTGGCTAAAACACGTCAATCTCTCCACGGCCACTCACAACCATCTGGAGCAGGGTATGAAACGCACATCACATACTCATCACGGCTCTAAAACACAGATTTTATTGTTTAACAATGAATTTGAACTATATACACTTACCTGTATATAGCACAGCTATTGATTCATATACAGATACTAGTGTACAGCTTTCCTGTTTCTTTCTTCTATTATAAAAAACAAACATGAATTTGAATCCCTAAAATGCTTTCAAAAAATATATTTTCAGTTTGTTCCACCATCCTGATCTTCTGCCTTCGCCGAGTCATAGGCAGCGAGATGCTGATGTGGGCTTGAGGAACGGCGCTGGTCTCAGCGGTGAACAGACGTCTGGTTCATCCTCTGACCGAACAGCTCGAGGGCACTGCTTTATTCAGAGTTCTACACAATATTCATTTCTTTATCATTATGGTGCACTCACTTTGAGAAGGTCATTTCTAACTTGAACTATCCTCTGTCATCAGATGGCTGTCTCCACCAGAGAGAGAACCGACTCGGGGTCACTCTGAAGAGCCAAGGAAGAGGGATGTTCCCCTGACGCCCATGATGAAGTCCCTGCTCCAGATGGAGGACACCAAAGCCACTGAGAGCCGTGCGCTGTCCAAGAATGGCTGCAGTTCCTCCAGTATGTCACGAAACGCTGCCTAAAAGGAATTGTCCACAAAAAATTACAATTTGCTCACCCTCAGGCCATTCCAGAGGCAGATGAATTTGTTTGTTCATCAGAACAGATTTAGAGAAATGTAGCATTACATCTCTTGCTCACCAGTGGATGCTCTGCAGTGAATGGGTGCCATCAGAATGAGAGTCCAAACAACTGATAAAAACATCACAATAATCCACACCACTCCAGTCTATCAGTTAATGTCTCGTGAAGAGAAAAGCTACGTGTTTGTAAGAAACAAATCCATCATAAAACGTTTTAACTTCAGACTGTTGCTTCCATCTAAAATATGAGTCCTTTATCCATAATATTGCTTTCTCCAGTAAACAAATCTTCTCGTCTGAATCAGGAGAGAAATATGCACAGATCAAGCACCGTTTACAAGCAAAAACAGCCCAAAACAGTTTTCAACAAATATATCTGTGGATTTAAATGTGAGAGAACGACAGGAGATGAAATTGATCTTTTTCACTGTTATTGTGGATTATGGACCGATATTTTGGCCAGAAGTGACCGTTGAAAGTTGAAACGCCTTAATGATGGATTTGTTTCTTACAAATACTCAGCTTTTCACTTCACAAGACATTAACTGATGGACTGGAGTGGTGTGGATTACTTGTGGATTATTGTGATGTTTTTATCAGCTGTTTGGACTCTCATCAGCTTTACCATCACAGGAATAAATTATGTTTTAAAATATATTTAAATTCAACTATTTCACAATATTGCTGTTTTTACTGTATTTCTGATCAACCTTAGTGAGCATAAGATACTTCTTTCAAAAATCTTGCCTATCCCTAACATGAACATTTTGAACATGAGTGTGAATATATATATAGGCTATTTTATGAGTCCTCATTTCATGTATAGTATTTATAGTAGTAATTATCTGGCAGGCGAAGCTACACTAAGTAATTTCGATACTCCCAACACTTGTTTACAGTCATTGTCATTTTTATTTTGTGATGTGTGTTTTAGGGTTGGCTAGAAGGAGGCCTACGGTGGCTTTTGTGGAGAGTTCTGTGAGGGACGCTGTGGAGGAGTGGAACGGAGCCGTGCTGAGGGCCCAGAGGAGTCTCTCTCCAGAGGGTCACAGGTCATCATCTCTGCCCCCCAGTGCACAGAGAGCCGTTCCTCTCGCCACACCCAGTGAGTGACCCAAATCTTTAGCATTTCAGTGTTTGATGCATTTTCAAAATGACTGATAAAAATCCAACTTCACTGACTGAATATGTTTTTTTATGTTAGCAAAGAGGGACACATTACTCCTGCCTCTCTCAGCCAAGTCCAGTCCTAAGCGCTGCCCGACTGAGAACTTCTCCACTGCGTTGGGTCACCCTCTTCCATCTCAAGAGCACATGCAGAGCAGGTAACATTTCTGTCCTGCTATCTGACTCACTTGCCATCCGCACTGAACACTTAATAAATAATGTGTCTTATGAATGCCTTGTTTTTTAGGTTTGATGTAGCTTTTGATCGAAATGGCATCAGCTCCTCTTTACCGTCCCATCCAAGCCCAAGGAAGAGGTTACAGTTTAAGTCTTCTGAGAGACTGGAAGGTATTGTTGCTTTTTCAGGTTTAACTATCAAACAGTGATAATCATAGAAGAAGAAACACTGATATTGACTACTGTTTATGGTGCTTGCTCATATTTGTATTTTATTTTTACACTTTCCTACAATTAATTAAATAAGTTAAGTTTTTATATTTGATATTATATAATAGTTCATGTATTGCTTTTATAAACTTTATGCTGTTTTAGTATTGAAATAAATGTCTATATATAAAAATTTAAATTATATAATTATAAATCACAGAATTGAAAAGAGTGGCAAAAATTAGTATTTAACTAAATAAATATTATATCTATTTTTTATATTTATTTCTTATCATATTTACACTACCATTTAAATGTTTGGGGTCAGTGAGTGATTTTTGTTTAATTAATACTTTTTACATTTTACTTTTAATACTGTCAAAAAAGTGACAGTAAAGACATCTATAGTGTTACAAAATATAAATATATTTATTTCAATTAAATGCTGTTCTTTTGAACTTACAATAAGGTTCCATTAGTTAATGTTAGGCAATGTATTAACTAACATGAGCAAACAATGAACAATACATTTATTACAGTATTGATTAATCTTTGTTAATGTTAGTTAATGAAAATACAGTCGTTCATTGTTAGTTCACAGTGCATTAACTAATGTTAACAAACGCAACTTTTGATTTTAATAATGCATTAGTAAATGTTGAAATGAACATAAACTAAGATTAATAAATGCTGTAGAAGTATTGTTCATTCTTCGTTCATGTTAACTAAAGTAGTTAACTAATGAACCTTATTGTAAAGTGTTACCTGAACTTTTATCATGGTTTTGTCACATGGATTTATTAAGCATGGGTTTCCACAAATATGAAGCAACACAACTGTTTTTAACATTGGTAATAATCAGAAATGTTTCTCGAGCAGTAAATCAGCATATTAGAATGATTTCTGAAGGATCATGTGACACTGAAGACTGGAGGAATGATGCTGAAAAGTCAGCTTTAAACACTGGAATAAATTGCATTGTAAAACATATAAAAAAATAGAAAACATTTATTTTAAATTGTAAAAATATTTTGTCATTTTGTCAATATTACTGTTTTTTTTTCATCAATTAAATGCAGCCTTGGTGAGCAGAAGAGAAATTTAAAGATCTTAGTGACTCCAAACCTTTGAAGGGTGGTGTATATATAAATACATTATTTACCTAAAACTTTATCACTACTCGCTACCTTTTAACCCTGTTAGCACTGGTATTTCCTCAGGAAATGTAAGTGTTGTGTGAATTTCCTCCTCAGTGAACGTGGGCTCGTCTGAGCCTGCAGAGAGCAGTGAGTCTGAGGAGCCTGCGGTCAGACCCAGCTGGGAGGAACCGGACGCTGCCGGTGAAGAGACGCCCCTCTCCTGTGAGCCTCGTATTCAGTCGCTGGCTGACGCAGAGCGCCTCTTTGATGAGCTCACACAGGAAAAGCAGCAGGTGATTGTGGGATATTTCCTGTTATTACATGGCTCTCTAGAACACTTGATTCTGATTGGTTGGTCGTGGCTTTCTGAGATCAAATATATTCATATAATTGTAACACTTTACAGGTTTCATTTGCAAACATTAGTTAACTGCATTAGTTAATATGAACTAACAATAAATAAAACTTCTACAGCATTTATTAATCTTAATTAATGTTAATATTAGCATTTATGAATACATTTTCAAGATCAAAAGTTGTATCTGTTAACATTAGTTGCACTGTGAACTAACATGAACATTTTTAACTATCATTAACCAAGGTTAATAAATGCTGTAAAAATATATTGTTCATTGTTAGTTCATGCTAGTTAATGCATTAATTAATGTCTACAAATGAGACCTTACTGTAAAGTGTTACCCATATAATGATGCTAAAGTAGTTAATAGTGTAGTAAACTAGTTAAACGTAAAAAAAAACTTATAAAGTATTTATTTATTAAATGCACTGTTGAAAAATCTGAAAATTAATGGGGGTAAAATATGCTTATGATGATAGTTTAGTTATAACAGTTTACTAATGATATGTTTATGAGTTTACCCGATTTAACAATCAATCTTTACTGATTTCTCAACTGTGCATTTAATAAATAAATAAATAATATATATATATA